TAAGCTGCTCAGCTGTCACATATTTGGCAAGCCTTTTTTTGCATGTAAACAGGCAGAGGAAAATTCCCATATTTAAATAGCCAGGCAGTCAGCTAAGAACAATTAGCTTTAACATGAATAATCTCCGCCGCTACAGACGGGCCACAAATAGAAAACCTAAAATTATAGCTAATGCAAATAAATTTGCGCAGGCTGTGATGTCTCAGAGATCTTGATTTGCTCTGAATTACTGAGTAGCTTTGTGGCTTCTTAGCATGAAAACATTTTGTTTCTGGAATCACAAGGCTGCGGATGGGAAGTGCACCGAGGGCATGGGCTGGTGGGAGTTTACCCCGCTGATTTTGATAAATAGCCTTGATTTCTTATTTTCAAATTAGAATTAAACGCCCCTGGGAGAGCAGCTTGTTAACGCAATGCGTTTGCACGCAAGTTGTTTATGCAAATCTTGATATTTTCTTTTTTTTTTTGTAATTCTGTTTAGAAAGTAAATTATGATTTCACCTGTGGGCATTTGCAGTGATAAATGTTGGATATGCACACTGTCAATATAACAGCCTTCCCATCTTTCTTTTTACTTTGATGTTTAAAGGCTAAGCTTATTTTTCTAACCATATTTAGGGTGTAACATGAAACAGGATCACATCCCTACTTTTTGAATTTAGCACGGCTGTGCAGATCTGTGAATAAAGGGACAACAAGCCCCATCTGCCACCGCGGCAGAGGGACATGCAGGGCTGGTGCTAGACTATTTTGCACCCTAGGCAAGACCAGCTACTGGCACCCCCCAGCCCCCCTCCTGTAGCACAACCCCCAATCCCCCCAACCAGTGTGGCTCCATTCTCCTGCTGGCTAGCTTCCGCAGGCGACAGGTGGATGTCGGGAGCCAGGAGCAATAGCCAGACTGCTATTGGCTATTTTAATTTGAAAGAGCCAATAGCAGACTGGCTATTGAAACCGCACCAACTGAGCAGGGGAGCGGACCTGAGAGAGAAAGTTGTCTCTCAGTTCCGCTCCTCTGCTCAGTGGGCGGGTGCAATAGCTAGCCAGCCTGCTATTGGCTTTTGCAATTTGAAATAGACTTTATTATTAGTTTATTAAACACCCCCTTCTTTTTCATTTGTAAAAAAAAAAAAAAAATCCTCATATTTAGTTGAGAGTCTATCTTCAATTTTTGAAAATGCTGATACAATGTTCTCATCCTTGTTTTCCCTTCCAGTAAGAGGTGTTTCATATCTCATGTGTCTATGAAGGTTCTTATTAGCTCAAGGTATAGCTAGACATAGTTAGTCACATCCAACCCCACTTTGTAATATTTCACCACTCATCCAAGCGGCTTCCTCAGCTCTAATGAGTGTTGGGAAAATTCCACTGCATTTGTAGCCACATAGGTAACTCAGGTACTTAATTCAACCACCATAGTGCCATAAAGTTATCTGTCCTTATCTGCTTTGCTGAAAATGCCTGTTGTTGATAGAGTCCAATAGCTCAAGCTGAAATTTACAAAGGCAAATGCATGAGTCAGAGCAGTCACTGCTCCCCCTCCATTCTGCTTTGTACAGTTGGGTCTACTTGAAGTTTCAAATAGAGAGAGGAAGCCAGTAGGCAAAAAGCTGCTGTTGTGCTCTCATTGTGTTCTGGGAATCCTGTCATAAGTGCATGTTTTAAAAAAAATGTTTATCTGTAATACAAGGACTGTATTGTAGCAGTAAAAAACAGATATAAAATAAGGAAAAGATAAAAAAAAAAAACCTCCCATTTCCCACCCAACTATTTGCTAGCCTGTAACATCCCCCCCCCCCCCCCCAAAAAAAAATATTC